CGCTGTGCCATGTATAGATTATCTGGCCCAATGTCTTTACAACTTGTTTCCCACCATCCATCTATAATCTAATTTTCCTATTTGAAAATCGTGTTTTCATGAATGCTGTGTTGCTAATGACTCGTGTTATTCATGTATTCTTTTCCCCATCAGTGGGGATATATGTGCTTTGTTTGGGCAATAAGTGTAGAGTCGGGAATTGCTGTCCAGAGCCTATATCATTCCATGGTAGCTGCGTCATACCTGCCATACATTGCAGCTGTGTTGTTACAGACATGATACATCTTCCCTGTTGAAGATGATTTGTGACATCTAATTTTTTTCCCCTTTCAGTACATTTCATGTCTCCAGAGATGTGAAAAGGTAGCAGTAGCAATGCTGAAGAACAAGACCTTACTTTTTTGGTGTCGCCATGTATTACTGTTTCTTACGTGCATCTCTTTCGTTCAATATTTATGCTGCTGCAGCAGTGTGGCATGCTAACGCAAACTGATGCAGACAACGTAAATGTTCCTTTAAAAGACTTTAGGTTTTAGAAAATGTATCCATTACAGTGGGGCTACCCTCGCACTACAAGGGGCAACTGCTCGTTTCTTCTCTAGGTGAAAATAAAGAAAAAATACTCACCCGATCCTCGGTCCTTCAGCAATGACCGCTCCCCTCTCTCCCTCTCCAATCCGGTTATGGTATGTCCCTTGGCGTTTTCATGTCCAATAGATCTGTATTAGATGTAATAATGTCACAGGTTCTTAGGCCGTCAGGGCCCAGGGGGAATAGGACGCTTCGGGGCCTGGTCATGCAGCCAGAATGGACTGAGGACCTGGTGAATGTTTCGGTGTTTGCGGAGTAGCCCCACAGCAAGGGTTATTAATTTTTGCCCCAATAAATGGAGTTCTTTAACCCTTGAAGGGCAGTTTCTGTCAGTACGTGGTCAATTTATAAGTTGCTTCCACCATTTAGGAAACATTCCAGCAGTGTTTGTCGGACAGTTCAGAGTTTGCCTTTGTATAAGTATTTGGTAATTTTATTGCAGTTAGTTCAATCAGACCTTTCACACGGCTCCTTCTTCCCCAAAAAATGAACGTCATGTCACAATACATTCTGTACTGTCCCAATTATACATTATCTTGGGGAATACAGCAAAGCTGACATTTCTTTTCATCAGATCATTCTTTAAGTCAAATACGCTACACGGTGAAGAAGTCTCTTTGCAGTTAATATACTTACATCTGCATCATGACTCGCCAGCATAAATCACTTTGCCAAATATCTTCTGGAATATGCTCAATATATTTGCCACTTTTGTCTGCACGGTTAGGTTTTTAGGAAATTTTTAAATTTTACAACTTCTCCACTTCGAAGTCCCAGACCTCTTGGATGTTTAATTTTTCCACTACTTCTACCTTCTCGTTAAATGCTTAGTAAATGTATTCTATATTTACAGAGTCTTTTACGAGGAGGCACAGAATAGTCTACTTGCATAATGTTACAGAGCCATATTTAACCTAAAGATCGTTAATGCAAAAGTGTTAAGCTGGCCAGACACAGAATTTTAGCCAATTCACAGGAATCGACCAACATACTAGCAGTCGGTGGCCATTTTGTCAAAGTGGCCAGGCCAAATATTGTTGGCCAAACAGTCTCTGCAACCAATTGGCAGCAGGCACTGGCTTTCAAAATACAGTAGCTTGGCAGGAGAAATATGTCTATCTGTGCGGTTTACTATGGACGAATCTGTTCCATTTCTTTGGTTCAGCCCTCAAACTGAACAAAATCCATCTATTTTGGTGCATGGCCAGCTTTAAGCAGACACTTAGATATTTTTGCATGTATGTTTTGTTCTCTTCCACAGGAAACAAAGTGTGCAAACATTGGTCACGCTATATGCAATGGTTACGTCCAGTTTTGAAGTCAGAGCTGTGTCACACCCACCTCAAGCATGCCTCAGTACAACGCTCTGACCCTGTCTGACCAATGGAGAGGGGTTTTAGAAAAGTACTGGGTGTTTTTTTTTCTCCGTAATGCACAGAATGCATTAAGGTTAACAAAAAGCCTTTAATACTACTTTAATTCTTGTTGTAGTTGAACAGCAGAACAGTGGTGCATAAACACACATTACCCTCATGATTCATTTGGAAATATCTTAGTTTTCAAAGTAATGGTACCAGTAGTGCGTCTTATTTTATGTTGCAGACCTCTGTAATAATAAAGCCGCTAATGTGCGGGATCTCAGGTGTTCACTGCCAAAAGGTACTGTAAAGGCTTCATTAGATGCATGTTGGATAACCTGGCACTCCATACAAGTTCTAGTCTCGTGCTTGGGCCCAGCCATTAAAAACATAAAGTTAATATCTGTCTGAGGTCTGTAATTGAAAAATATTTTTTTCATTATAAATAGACTCAAATAGATAAAATAACTCTCGCAAGCAAAATACATTTTACGTTTATCTTTATGCAACTAGGTTGAAAAAAACTCCCTCATTGGCAGTCAGTTCTTCATGTATTTTGGTATTGAAATTAGAGATAATTAATTTGGATTCCCTCAAATAAGGTTTCTGGTAACAAATGTGCAGCAATGGGTTAAAGGTGTTGGATATATTTGAACCACTTCATTAACATATAGGAAAATCCTTTGTCACAAGAGCTGGCTGGAATGGGATTGTCATCTAAACTATGTGCAATTAAACTGATCAGTATGCACATTAAAAGTCCCTAAAGAGACCATGTTACCTGCTTAATCATTTGCAGGTAGAAGCAAAGTGAAGTATTTTATATGTTTATTTGTAGACTTTTCCTTTCAATAAACAAATGGTATTCATTTACACTCTGACTTTAACTTTGCTAGAAAATTGGACTTTTTCAGAAATAATAATTTCCCTAGCATAGCCCCTTTCCTCCTTGAACATCATAGCCCTCTTCTGCTCTGGGAGTGTCTAATAACTGTCTGTGCTGGCCCATCTCCTCTGCTCATCACCTCCCTACGTAACCGTTAATGTAGTTTCCAGGGAAGGATCAAAGGCTCATTTTAACAGAGTGACTTTTGAGTGACAGCTCTAGGGCTTCTGACATCATATCCAAGATGGTGGCACCAAGTAGCAGTCTTTGGTTATTTGGATGTCTACACACAGGTGAATTTTGGAAAATCTGATTACGCCGCTAGACGGCAGTACGGCATATGGATAGTTTGCTTGCCGTTCGTTTGCCAAAAGGTAGGCATAATGAAGGGGGTGGGGAGAGGGTGTCAAATTGGAAGGGGTAATTCCTTTTTCCCCAAATTGACCTGGGAAAGTGGAATGACAGGTTGAGATGTTTAATGCACATATCATCTTATGGGAAGAGGAAGGATAATATTAAAGTGAATGGTGTGGTGGCACGGTCTCTTTAACCAAAGGCTTTAGGAAGTGAGGGAAGATGGTGGTTTATTGGGAGTACTCGACAAATACAGTTACAACATTGATTCAATTGCAAGAGGATAAAGCACTGGAACTACCATGACTGCTACCAGTTTATTTTCTCCCATAATAACATTGCTGGGAATGGAATTGGGATTTCTTAATTCCCTGTGAGCAGTAACTGGCTTTTAAAATGTAATAATTTTAAGTGGAACACTCCGTAAAGGGAATAAACATGTAAAATGTCATCAGCTTGATGTACATAATGTCACTGTGTTAATGTAAAAAAAAAAAGTCATATGTATAGGATATCATCCATATTTCCTGGTTCCCAGTGCTGCACAATAGACGTACTTCACTGTATTTTTTCAATGCAAGTCTGTGTCAGCCAGCGCTTATAGTGAGCAGTGCTCTTCCTGTGTGAGTGATATCTTGCCCCCAAACATTGTTATAAATGGAGCAGGGTGATGCCACTAATCCAGTAAGAGCTCCCTCTAGTGGTTAATCTGCAAGCACTGAAATCTTGGTGAAAATACACTGTACTTTTACGTTTTTAGTACACCTTTTGTTTGTTTCGGCAAATTAGCATAGACCTCATGATCCAGTCAGTTCAGTCTAGTAGGCAGCAGGCCTGAAATCATGTACATTCATAACAGTAATCGCTCCCTCAGACACAAGCTATAGTTCTTGGGCACATTTGGCAGTGGCTGTACAGAAGGTGACCAATTTTCTGGCTTTACCAAAAATGGATCTCATCCACTCATCTATGTTCTGAAATGCCGGTTATAACCGGCTAATTAGATTTGTCCATTGAAATAATGCAGACGGAATGAAATGGGTTACTGTGTTTGCCAGAGAGTATGGATGGCCCCCTCAGTGTCACTTAAATGGAAAGATCTTAATGATTCACTTTAAATGTGTTCAAACCACTAACAGCCACTGCAACGTGCTCACAGTAAGCGGAACTTTTTTCAGTCTTTAAGTGGATTCCATGTTCTGACATGGAGGGTTCTCTGCCCTCCCGGGAATTTAGGGGGACATATGGAGCTGGTTTAATCTGCAGCTCATCCACAGGTGACATCTGGTATGTCAATATAACATTATACTATAGTTCATCATGGGAACCTTTTATATCTGAAGGTTAGACACCGCCTGTTGTGACCTGTGGGACAGACAACTTATAGTTTTACCTGGAGCTGCACAAATGCCCCTTTGTACTGCATGGAAGGGTCCTAGGCAAGAATCAAATTCCCACTGAATTTGGGGTCCCCTTAGAGCAATGTTCTTGTAGTTATGATTCCTCATTTTAACACATGTGACTACACATCTCCTTTTCCTTATTGAATCTTTGCTCGGAATTGATTTATCTCACAAATAATTGCTGTTGGCAAATAAAAGCCATGTCATATTATTTCTTACAGAAGTTCCATAAAATATTTAGCAAAAATACATACATTTCATCTCATATTAACCTTTTACATGGAGGGATGTCCAGCGTTCCTCTTAGTTTTCTTGTTAATTACTGTATCCCAAATGAAGCCATGTACAACTTCATAAACATACAAGAAGTCTCCAAAGAATCGAATATATATAAAATTATGTTTTCAGTTTGCCGTCCAACATTGTCCTTCATTGTGCCTCAGTCTATTGGTCTTATCATCATCTGGACCTTTTTGAGTGAATAGGAACCTCCACGATAGTCTGCCCAATACATTCCATCTTGATGCTTGCTACGGTATACTCCTCCTCTGTACCAAACACCATTTAGATTGGCATGTGCACATGCATTGTACCACCATCCTCCTTTATGGAAGTGAGCGCAGTTTCCTGGGAATGTTAATTAGCAACATGTTTAATATGTATTATAAATGATCAATAAATCTAAATAACCTGAATTGCATTATTAAAAAAAAAAATTCCAGAGATTCCTGGCTGACATGTCTTGGGAGAAGGTGTAGGGTTGTCTGTGGTTAATGATTTCAGATGATCACTATTGTTTTCACAGTTACGCAGCAGTAAGTTAGCACTGGAGGTGCCTAAGTAATTTCAAGACTTGGAGAGACTGGCTAGAGACTCTGCTATGATTAAATATGGAATTTTAACAGGTAAAGCTGTAAAATGCTGCTACTACAGCATAGCTACATACTGCAAGTATTGCTGATAAGGCTCCCACTGTAAAATGTGAGCTGAGTTTTGTTGATTACAGTAACTGGGTAGAGTAACGGATGTAGTCAACATTATAAAGCCAAAAATGAAGTTTGTTGCAGAGTTTTCAGTATTATTGTCACTGAAATATATTCATCAGTTGAAAGATTTTTTTAAGTCAGGATTTGGGTTTGTGATTATAGCAGTTTTTATAAAGAACAGACAGCTCTCCGCTTGCTTTTTAATGAAAGATTTGTCCATGTATGGCCAACCCATTCATAACCAGAGTTTTTGTAAGCTTAGTTGCCCAACCAAGTTTAGCAGCGTATTGTATTCATCAGATAACACGACAATAACTCTGACCTATTCTTCAGTTTGACACCAGGCCTGAGAACTAGAAACTCTCACAGCTGTGCATTCCTAGTTCTCTGCTGCAAGGTACGACCTAAAAAGGAGTATTTTTAAGCTTTTATTAAGGGTAGACAGTGATCACGAGGGTCTACTGGCCTGTGTGATTTTTAGGTTATAGCATACTTCATTCCAACTTATGTAAAACATTTCATACCTAATATCCCCCACACATGACCTATATTGCCAACCTGATGTGTCAGCAGATGTACTGTACATACCAGAAATTGAGTCTTCCCACTAGGGATGCACCGATACTGGTTTTTCGGTATAGAGTACTGATATTTTGCTTTCGGTACTCGCTACGGTATACTCTGTAATAACCTGCCGCCTAGCTTCCTGATTGCCCTAGAAGCCAGCTCAATGTTGTTTGGCCAGCTCGCTTGTGATTGGCAGGAAAAAAGGCTTCCCGGCCATTCAGGAAGCTGGGAGGCGGGTCATTACTCACCAGCCCGCTCCATATTCCCCTATGGCACTGCCTGTCCGAGGAAAGCTTCCGGTATCGGCAAAGGTATCGGTTCATTTGGGCAAGTACGGGTATTCGGCCAAATACTCTGCATCGGCACCGATACTAGTATCGGTGCATCCTTTCCACACTTCTTGCTGCTGCAGTCTGCCTCTGAGCCAGTCTCTTTGGAGCCTGCAGTCTTGAGTGCCACTGCACATTCGTAGCTATTCATCATTCACTGTATGGCTTAAAGTGACATTAAACCCTCAGATTTTTTAACATAAACCAATACTTTAATGTGCGCCTTACTGTAATCCATGGTTGTTTCCCTTCTCTTTGCTGCTCTTCCTTTTTAAATCCTCATGTCTTCTCATGCTTGGGGAGAACTTCCCTTTTTCAGCTCAGGGCCTCTTCCTGTAGTGCTGGCTCAGGTTACAAGCCTATACAAACGTATACACAGACACCGTGTATCCATTCCTGAGACAAGGCAGTCTGCTGCAAAACAGAAGTTCTGCAGAGCATGAGAAGACATGAGGATTTAAAAGGAAGAGCAGCAAAGAGAAGGGAAACAACCATGGATTACAGTAAGGCACACATTACAGTATTTTATGTTAAAAAATCTGAGGGTTTAATGTCACTTTAAGCGCACACAGTAGCTCTCATATTGCTAGCTTCAAAAGAGGCTGTAAATGCTACTGGAGCATGGGCAAGGGAGAGGCATAAAATGGGAGAAGACTTGCTGTGAAGTTTGTACTTCTATGAATACATTTGTTTAGGGGTGAAGGTTATTTTTTTTTATATGTTGGTTGTACTTACCAATAAAGAATAATGATTTATTTAAGGATTTATATATGCACTCCTCACCTGTATACATGTCCCTGTCTCTGTCCAGTGTGGTAAACTGCTTTCCATTGTGCCAAACCATGGAGTCTCCAGCATTGCCCTGATATGTCCCCAGTCGCAGTCTGTAGAAATCCGACTCTGGCTCTATACGGAAGCTGCTATATTCAGCGTAGACCTTTTTATTGTTCCAGTCTTCCAGTTCAATCAACAGTTTATAGTTATCCTGGTTTGTCAGCTGATAGATGTTCTCTAGTCCCAGCCAGTACTCTGAATCAATGTTTCCAAAGCCTTTCTATACAGGAAAAAGTGTGCATTGATAGGGTTACACTACTTAATCACCATTGGTAATACTAATGTGTGGATTAGTAACATATATTCAGGTTGTTAAACAATAAAAGATGCATTATGATGTATTCGTGTAAAACTATTAATCACCAAGCCTAACAAAACTGTTGTACCGTGTGCCCTCTGGCATACCTAATACTCTTATATATGTTTCTAGCTTGTGGTTTAATTTACCCCGAGCCATTTAATTGGAAGCCATAAGACTTTCGGTTAATGTGATGGTGCTGATGGCAAAAGCACAGGTACTGGTTTGTCTAAACACTGGTTAGAGGCATCAAGACAACTAGAAGTTGCATATTTCTATAATTACGGTGATGCTACAAGCTTTAAATGCATGGGAAAGCACCTGAAGGCAAACAATGGTGGAAATGGGGCTATGCGCACCTTGCATTGCCCACTCTTAATTTGCTGCTGAGCATTCTGCATAAGTTTGTGGTCACGCTACATGTCTGAATATGTGGTGGTGAGCCAACAAAATGTATTCTGTTTAATAAAAAATATTTTTTCTATGAGGCTGATCACCTCCTAAGATTCTCCTTTTCTCTCACTGTGGTACCCGCTACATGATGTTTTTATATGTCCTAAAACTCCTTCACCATTTCATGTTCCCCAAAGCTAAACTGGATTTGTGCCAGCTAGGAGCATTCCAGTGTTACCACTTATTCCCAAGAATTGCATGGAGACGGATGCATTGTTCACATGGGTATTGGCTAGGTTACGCACAGCATTTGTGTGATCCCCCTCAGTCTTACCAGATGTGAGTCCTCTCATTCTATTGTAATTTCTGTACTCCTATCTTCTGTAAACCAACCTTCTTCCCTATCTTTTTCACTGATTACTACACCAGAACAAAGCAATCCTGCTTTCTCTCTTTGTTTTCCCATGTACCTGCATTTAGGAAGATAGACAGACAGTCTCCATTCCTTAGCATTGTTTTTAGGTGTGTGAAAGTATTTCATGCTGCAATTTAGATGCACTGCCACCCAGTTCCCTGTAAAGTAATTGAATCCATTCTCAGATGATGCTTTTGCTCACAGCACTAAGGAAAATGGCTTGCGTCTTAACAGGTGTTGCTCACAAATCTGAAATCTCGCTCACGCTGACTAACAATGGTTCCTGAGGCTTCCAATTATTCTGCCTGATTTAAATAGGACTAAATGGTTGTGGTTGACGTTTGTAAGTTGTTAGTATAGATGTTTGTGCTTACCTTATATGTCTCCCAGTTCCTGAAGAAGTTAGCAGATCCATCAAATCTTCTCTGTATCACTGCCCAGCCTCCAGGGTCCAGACTGTTCTCACACCATAGCTGCATGTGACTATTGGCGTTGGTTGGCTTTATTAAGTAAATACCAGTGCTGGGAAATCCTGATTCTTTGGCATGCGCACAATCTCTGAAAGGGCCTGTAGAAAGTCAGATGTACAGTTATACCTTTAAAGCAACCTGTAATGTAAAGAAAGTGTGTGAGACATAAATCATTTCTTATTCTAGAAATATTATCTAAAATGGCCTGGACTGGTTTGCTGGTACCTCTAGAAAAGATAACTCTTTGGGTTTTCTCACTTTGTATCACACAAGTCTAATCTTTTAATCTGTCAGTCATCCCATCTCTGCTGTTTGGTATCATTGTGTGCACCACACTGAACATGGAACAGAGAAAGCAAAGGAGAAAATTGTCTGAGATGATCGGTAAGAAAGTTATAGAGCATGTTAAAGGTAAAAGGCTGTAAGACCATCTCCAAGCAGCTTGATGTTCCTGTGACTACAGTTACAAATATTATTAGGAAGTTCAAGGGTCATGGAAGTGTAACCAACCTCCCTGGACGTTGTCACAAGAAGAAAATCCACCCCATATTAAACAGGTTAGTGTGAATGGTAGACAAAGAGCCAAGGAAAACTTCCGGAAAGATGAAAGCTGAATTCCAAGATCAAGGTACATCAATGTCTGGTCACTTTTTAGGCAACAGTGGGCTCAAAAGCAGAAGACCCAGGAGGACTCTTGCTAAAATGCATGATGACAAGCCACAGTGCTTACAAGACACTGTCCTGTGGAGAAGATAAATCTAGAGCTTTTTAGCAAGTCACACCAGCTCCGTTTCATATGTTTAACAAATTTTAAAAATTAAGCTTTTAACCAGTTGACATCCGCGGTGTTAAACCCCCTTCCCATCCAGGCAGAAAAAAAACCGGCAGCGCCGACCGCACGCGAGGGGAGTTGGTGCCGCGAACGAGCACATATAGGCGATCGGCGGGCTATGGACCCGCTGATCGCCTATATGTGAAACACCCGGTAACGGGTGTGTGCAACGGTCGGGTCTTTTCTGCCCGTGCGTGCCCGCTAGGGGGGCGCGCGCGAGCAGAAAAAAATTGCCGTCTGGAGACGGCAACCCGCAAATGCAGCAGTGCCGTCCGTCCGTTTTTTTTACTACGGGCGGACGGCAAGAGGTTAAAGAAAAAAAAATGGTACCTACTGTGATGCATGGAGGAGACCGGGCACAATGAAATCTCATAACTATCGAGGAATTCTGTAGTGAAACATACTGGGTTGTGTCAGAAAGCTCTGGCTCAGTCGCAGGTCATGGGTCCTCTAACAGGATAAAGACTGAAAACATACAGCTAAAAGCACCCAAGAATAACAAACCCTTGGACTATTCTGAAGTGGTCTTCTAGGAGCCTTGATCCTATTGACCATCTCTGGAATGAGCTGAAACATGCAGTGTAGAGAAGGCATCCTTCAAACATGAGACAGCTAGAGCAGTGTGCTGAAGATTGGCCTCAACTACATGTTGGCAGGTGTAGAAAGCTACAGAAATCACTGGTTTTCACCAATTGCCTTCCAAAGTTGTGCAACTAAATATTAGGTGAAGTCCCGTCATTTTTCCCCATGCCATGTTTTTATGTGTTTTTAGTATTGAAAATATTCTGTTGAATCAAAATCAATAGCAACGTCTGACTTTATACTATTTAATATGAAATGCACAAAGATGGATGCCAGTGACTTTGGTCAGTTTCAAGGTGTTTCAGAGAAAGATTTGGGCCCTTCTTTTTTTCGTGGAAGGGTACCAACAAATATGCCCACGCCTGTACATATATACACAAAGACACTGAAGCTGTCCAAACAGTACTCTTTAATTGCTTAATAGAATCGCCTGCAGTACAGACAACTGCTGCCCTAGGTCAGTGCTTCCCAAATCTTCACCGCTCACCAGCAGTTTTTTGTAGGCAAGTTCTCATATGTTCTGGTGTTGTCCTTAATAATTCAGCAATGCAATACAGCTACTTAATTAGATCTCCACAAAACAGGAAATGTTCAAGGAATGGTTTTTAGTGGGTTCCATACTGCTGCAGGATTGACCAAACAGTTAATTGCCTAGGTTCCAGAAAGGCCAGGGTGGTATTTCTAGTGAGCCATTTATATTTTTTGTATAGTGCCGTGAGAATATCCTTATTTTGTATGTCATCTTATATCCACCAGTATGGAGTTGCAGTGTGATGTTCAGAGTATTTTATGTGAGGTGTAATACTAGAGTTCTGTGCTGTAGTTTTCCTATCTGCGGTCACTGAGCTGTCACTGTCTGTGGCCCAGCAGAGTGGACTAGATAGCTTGGAGTTGATGAGGCAGAAGATTAAATGTTTAATATGTTGTTTAGTCTGTCTTATTGTTCTCACAGCATGACCGTATTATGTACCACTAGGATGAAAACGGAGACTTTTTTGTTTGGTAAAAATTGTGATTTTTGTCAAACCTACTTTCTGCGTGGCCCCTCAGGATCCCCGGGATGTTCTTTTCAATATTGACGTGGCATTCTTCATTCCTCTGGATAAAGCTTATATTTCTTTTCTTTTTTTTTTTTCCTCTGTCCTTTTTCAGAGTGGAAACGTTACTTTATTTGTGTTTTTAAATGACAAAATACTTTTTATTTCTTTTTTTATGAAAATCATTTTCTTCTGGTCAGTTATGCTAACCTCTTCACTTTCTGCTGAAGATCATTATAGATTCGGAAAGTCGCATGTGTATGAAAACTAATCAGACGTCCCACAGGGAAAAATGTCACACGGGTTTAATGAATATTTTGCTGTTTGAATTGGTAATACAACCTGAACATTAGCATCTGGTAATCATTAGTTTTAGCTGTTGTGAAAGAGTACAACAGTTTCAACTTGTGCGGTTTTCTCTACACAATACTAATGTAAGGGGTAAGAAGTCCTTCGAGAAACACAAGTATTTGGGTTAAGTGAAGAAAATATTTCTGTATACTTGCATTGGTCCTGCTTGGTCCAATGTAAGACTACATTTTTCATACCAGGTAGGCCCACAGGGATCCTGTAAGCAATGTAGCAGTCACAGCTACATTAGTGTTTTTCAGCTATCCTCTGGTGCTGGTACTGTGCTGAGCGACTTCCCATCTGCTGTGAAAACACTGGTTTAGCTTAAGTGTGTAAAAGTTAAAATGTCGGTGTTACTGTCTGTCAGTTTATTTTCTAAGTTGTTCTGAAATCTGAACTGTATAAGTTGTTTGGTTGCCTTGGCACATGGGGCTACAGCCATAAAAAGATGTGCAGCGATCGTTTTCTCCTCAGACTGTGATAGGACCAGACATTGTATAGAACAACTGAACTTTAAATCATGTTGCATAGCCAGCGAGAACATATTTGTAAATATTTATAAACATGATCTTGAGTACATGCATTGGTTAAAGGCAACGCGATATAATGTTTAATGTGAATGCATGTGTGTACAGTCATTGTGTATACATTATGTGCATGTAGTATTTGCATTAGGGGGAGATTTGTAAACTCTCGCTTAATGAAGGAGTCTCTGATCTTTGTGATATCTTGTTTTCCTTTCCAGTTAGTGATTTTAGTATTGTTTGTTTTATTTTCATTATCTGGCATGTTTACTTTACACGTTATTGATCGTTGATTTGATGTTTGCAGAATGGTCACTCTGCGTTCTTTCACTTAGCTCCATCGACCGTCGCTAATCTGAATATAGTAACCTGGTTTATTCCGCGCGCTATTCTATTTTATTGACTTGTATCATTTTACCTAGAACACCGTGTTTCAATTCTTTCTAGCATTCTGTACCTATAGGGTTCTGATATGTTGTGTTAGCAGGGCTCCGACGCACCCAGAGTCTAATCTGCAGACTGTGAGAAGCTCAAACTATACAGTGCAGTGAAAGTAAGCTATTCCAGTACAGGAGAGGAGCCTGCACAACTCTGCAGGACTCAAGGTGGAGCTGGAAATTGGCTTCAAAAAGACCGTCACCAACTTAAAACAGTGAATGTAAAAGCACAAAAAAACAAGTATTTTTACTGCTTCCTTGCAGTGTTTTTTCTTTCCCATTTATGATGATTTATTTTCTTGCAATGTGCTTTTGAACTTGCTAGAAAATGGGACTACTCCTGGAGAGTCAGTTCACAAACACAGCCCCCTCCCTCCTGCCATGTCATAGTCCTCTCCTCTTCTAGTAGTATGTACATTTTTTTAATGGTATCTGGTAGTATCTAATTACTCTGTGCTGGCCCAGCTCCCTCACCCCTCACCTCAGCTCCCTACCTAACCTTTTAAGTAGCTGCTGGGGAAGGTGCAAAGGGGAGTACTATATAGTGTCACTTGAGTGACAGCTCTGGGGCTAATTACATTATATCCAAGATGGTGTTTTGGATGCCTACACAAGGGAGGCTTTTCCAGGTAAATAACGTGCCTAAGAGCTAAATGCGCATCTAATCATCTGGGGAGATTTTTGTTGGAGTGATTGGTCCTGTTTCTATAAGTTAATGTCTTCCTTGTGCAGAGTAATGCATTTTGTAGAATGTTGGAAAGTTTGTATATAAGGTCTGCATTTCCTCTGCATGTGTCTTGTTTGTCTGGTAAGGAAGGAGAATCCAAGCCAGGAACAATTTGTCTGCATTATAGGAAAGAAAGCCAGTCCCATCCAGGGTTACGATATAAATGGTGCAGGGTAATCACTTTTTAAGTACAATACATCTCTGTCCTTTTCATATTTCAAGCATACTTTCCCAATTAGCTTTCCTTCGACTTGGCTGTAAGTAGTGAGCGATGGTTTTAGTTTAAAGGAAACTATTTCTATGGGGAAGCATCCTTTATTGTGTCCTGTGGCTGCACTAGTACAAAACTTTTCTGGTATGTTGCTTTGCATTGCTGGAGACGGCTGTTCCAGGTGCAGGGCCTTCTGTGCCCAGAACAAGGTAAACAGGGTGTCCTGATTCATCACTGACCTGTCTTCTATCACTGATTGTTAACCCAACCCTGTCACTTAAAGTGACCCTAAACTCAGGATGTAAATCTTAAAAATGCATTTGACTACCCCAGCTATTAACAATACAGGACCTTATTTGTGCATCACTCGGCTGTAGATCCTCAAATCATCTCTGAA